GTCTGTAAATATTTCCTACTACTTTCTGTCCCTTCATTACTGTCAGCATGCCTTTACTCACTTTCATTACTCCACTTATAGATTTGTAACTATAATCATTACAATCTAAAGTGCCCAATGAAATCACATTATTCCTTAGATCTNATCCCATGCTGCTCACACAACTCCTAGAACTTTGAATCTGTGTACTCAGTACCATTGTCTGACCTGAGGCATTTAATCTTTCTCCCTGTCTGGTTCTCTACTTCAATTTTTCACAGCTTGAACTTGGCAAACGCTTCAGACTTGTGCCGCATGAAGTACACCTAAACCTTTCGCGAGTAATCATCAATGAAACTCACGAAATACATGTATCCTCCCCGTGATACTACACTAACTGGTCCCCAAACATCTATATGGACATAATCGAGAATTCCCTCTGTCTTGTGTGTGGTTGTCTTGAACTGCACCCTGTTCTGTTTTCTAATAACACAATATTTGTAAAAATTGAGCTTGCATGTCTTGACACCCATAAATAGATTTTTCTTATGAAGCTCTATCATCCCACGCTCACTCATATGACCCAGCCGCATATGCCACAAGACTGTTCTATCTGATTCAGACTCTACAATAGCAACTCCACCTACAATCGTGGTACCCAGCAGTCTGTAAATATTTCCTACTACTTTCTGTCCCTTCATTACTGTCAGCATGCCTTTACTCACTTTCATTACTCCACTTATAGATTTGTAACTATAATCATTACAATCTAAAGTGCCCAATGAAATCACATTATTCCTTAGATCTGGTACATGTCTAACATCACACAACGTTCTAACCACACCATCAAACATCTTAATTCTAATATTTCCTATTCCAACAACTTTGCAGGATGCATCGTTACCCATTAGAATAAAACCAGAATTTACTGACCTGTAGGTGTCAAACCAATCTTTATTGGGTGTCATGTGATAAGAACATGTTGAATGCATAATCCAGGAATCTCTTAGACGATCTGAACCAAATGAAACAGAAAGCATATCACCGTCACCGCTCTTTGAATCTTCTTCTTCCACTACATTTGCAGTTTTTGATGGACCCTCTTTGTCCTCTGAACCCCTTTTCTTTTTCTCTGGACAGTCCCGTTTAAAATGCCCCTTTTTCCCGCACTTGTAACACAAGAGTGAGACGTCCTTTTTCTTCTTCCTCGACTTGGACCGGGCTTTATTGTTATCCGATCCATTATGAGATTTGCTTCTTCCACGTTCCTGGTTACCTTTCACCACAAGCCCTTCACCTTGTGAAGCCTCATTACTCGCTTTCTTTCGCTGATGAAAACCTAACAGAGCACATATGCCATCCTCCAACTCGAAGATTTCTTTCCCCCACATCAGAGTCATAACCAAATTCTCGTACGTAAGAGACGCTGGTAGGGAATTCAGCAACATCAACGCCTTGTCTTCGTCTTCGAACTTCACATCAACTCGCTTCAGATCACTAATGATCTGATTGAACACGTTGATGTGTTGGGTCAGATCCGAGCCCTCTGACATCTTAAGACCATATAATTTTTGCTTAAGATAGAGCTTGTTCGTCAACGACTTGAACATATATCGACTTTTCAGTTTCAACCAAACTTCCGCCGGTGATTCCTCATCCATGACGTGATACATCACGTCATCAGCCAGACAAAGCCTAATAGTCGTCACAACCTTCGCTTCCAATTTTTTCCAATCCATGTCGTCCATTCCTGCCGATTGCTTTCCGTATAACGCCTTCACCATGCCCTACTGCACTAACAGGTCCTTCACCCTCTTCTGCCATAATCCAAAATTTTCAGTTCCGTCGAACTTCATGATGTCGAATTTTGCAGAAGAAATCCCAGACATCGTAGCCTTGCTCTGATACCAATTGTTGTGATCGTGCAGCAATTATGGTGAATAATAAGGAATCAAACAATTAAGAAAGCAAGAGAAAATAATACAGAGATTTACGTGGTTCGGCAATGTGCTTACATCCACATGAGCGAGCAGCCGTTTTTTTTCATTATTCAAAGTAGGGTTACATCTTAAGTATTTATATAACCCTAGTATGGACGTATTTACAAAATACCCCTGTACCGTACTGCGGGGGCGTTGCCCCCGCACCCCTAACTAATCAGCGTTCCTCCCATACATAAAATATATCAATCCTGCTCTATCATCTGCCTCATTGTCATTGTGCACACAACAAATATTAGTCACACATACTCTAACAATTAGATTTCTATACTCCAAATGTTGTGGTCTAGTTGTTAATGTTATTTTATTTTCCTTATTTTATTTATAAATCATTATATCTATCACTACATTACGGATAGCACTACGGTGCTAAAAAAAAAATATTCGGTGTTACATGGAAAATTATTATTTTTATAAGTCAAGTTATACCTTTTAAGGTAAAGTTATAATTGTTTGAAATAATTCATGATCGAATTTGTAAAAGTTGTGTTTTTGTAACTTTTTTTTTATGATCTGTAACATGACCTTTAAGGATAATAATTTAACGTTTAAAAGTTACAATTTTTATAATTGATCAATCACAATACTTTGTAATTGATTACGTCCTTTAAACAATTATACCTTGACCAAAGAATATTCTAAGTTTCGGTGAAGTAGTTTCATCAGTACGATAGCTTCTTCAGAGCGAATCACAAAGGTCACTTGTCAATTTATCTTCATGATCTGAGAACAGTGAATGAATCACAAACATCAGTTCACAGGGCTCTCTGTCGCTGGCCTCTCTTACTCTCGTTACATATATCTATTGCATGAAACAAACTTGCCGTGAAAGTTATGTCACCCAACCAATAGAAATTAAGGACTTTAACAAGAAGAAAGGAAAATAAGAATGATAGAAAAGCGGATGAATGAATTTTCTTTTCAACTCACCAAAATTAATCCTTTCAAAATTTGAAGGAAAATAGATGAAAAATTAATTATTTGTATTGTGTCTATATAATCGTTGATATATACATATATTATTTATACATTTCATTTATACATATAATGATAAAATATATATTTATATTTTTTATAAAAAAAATTAAAAATTAAAAATTAAAAAAAAATCATCTTACCAAGTACAAAAAAAAAACTAATCATTTTTATTTTCAATTCATCCTACCAAATACAAAGGAAAAAAAAATGTATTATTTTTATTTTCTTTCTTTGGAGGATAAAAAATGTATCCCTACTATTTTTTATCACTCTTACTTTTCATTTTTTTTCTACCAACGAAGCATAAGTTTGATAATCTGATACATGCAACCAAAAAAGCAATAGAAAAAGACAACAAAAAAGAAAGAGGAGAATTAAGGAAAAACTTGAAAAGAATAATAATGGCTTTGGCGTTGGATGCCACTAAACCGCGAAATTTAGTGAGTTCCATCTCTAATATGCTCTGCATTTCTATTTCGACTTTATGTTTTAGAGAGTAGATCAATAAAAATCTATCTCTAATAGATTTTTTTAGATTTGTTAAAATAGAGTTCAATTTGATTTTCTATAGTTGGTAAATCATACTCACCGTCAATTTTATAATTCATAAATAAAAAGATAAAATATATAATTAAATTAATTTTTTGACTATAGAAGCTATTTTTAAAAGAATAAAGAACCCGATTAGAATTGTTAAAAATATTTCAGTTTCTATTATCCCTTTTTATTAAGGGAAAATTTTATCCACACTATTTTTAATTAAGTCTAATTGTCAAAATTACTCTTCTTTACGTAAATATACTAAAATGTCGTAAACTTTTTTCCCACTATACATACCACACCTGTTGTTGTTTGTGAAAATTCAAAATGATCTAGAGTTGCTGGAAGAGATAGGGGACTGAAGTCAGCAATTATTCTTCAACTCGTTCTCTATAGTGATCGATCACTACCTAATTTGGTAAAACAAAATATATATTTTTTTCTTATAGATTTGTAAATGTTTTTCATGCAAATTTTTTTTAAAAATAATTTATGTAGATATTTTAAATTTTTTTCATGCAATTTTTTTAATTTTTTTTTCATGCAAGTAGTTTTATTTTTTTTTCATGCAAACTTTTTAAAAAAAATTTTCATCCAAAACACCCGTTAGACTTTTAAGTTATTGTCTATTTTTTTATAAGTTGTTGGATAAGAGATACACTTTTCGATTTCTTATTTTCTTATATTAAATATCAATTTGTATTGATTTGTTGAGATGGAATGTTAATTTAGTTTAAATTAAATAAAGGACTTAATTTGATAAAATTAAATATTAAATTGATGAATGTAAAGATTAATATAATATAACTAAAAGGGAGTGCATTGAAATTTTAAAATTAAAATGAGGCATTGTTAAAAATTAATCTATTTATTGGGGTGTCGTTGAAATTATGTCTATATACAGGGAGTGTCGTTGAAGTTGTGTTTACTTATAAAAAGTGTGGATAAAATTTATCTTATAAAATATTCAGAGGTATTTTTGTGAATTGACAATCGTCGTTAATGTCATAATCTAACAAACACAAACATGGGGTAATAATTAAATTTCAAAATATAGAGGGTGTGTCATTCAATTTAGACTTAATTACAGACGGTGTGGATGAAATTTTCCATTTTATCAAATATACTCTATATCAAATATGCTCACGCCGCTAACTTTAGCTGGTAAGACTTCACAATGAAGAAATACAGTGCATTTGGCCAATGAAGAAAGGATGCGTCGGTCTTCCTCCAGACTAACGTGAGAACCAATCAAGGCATCTTGGACAGATGCCACTTGAACTGTTAAAAAGGTTTTTATGGACTTTCTTGGCTTTGAAGAGAACCATTGAATTCTGAGTTCATTAATGTTAAAGACCAAAAAAACCTCATTAATGTCCTATTTTTTCCGGAAGTTAGCTACTTTAAATCAAAATGGAAGAGCTTGAAGTCACACACAACAACATACACACGCACACAGAGAGAGGTATTGAGAGAGAGGGAGAGAGAGAGAGAGAGAAATTTATGGGAACCCCACAAGCTAGTTTGAATGTTCTTATGTTTCCATGGTTGGCTCATGGTCACATCTCTCCCTTCCTAGAGCTAGCCAAAAAACTAGCACACAAAAACTTCCATGTATCCCTTTGTTCAACACCTATCAATCTCAGTTCCATCAAAGAAAAAATCACCCACAAGTACTCTCTCTCCATACAACTAGTTGAACTCCATTTGCCTGATTCTCCTGAGCTTCCTCCTCATTACCACACCACCAATGGCCTCCCAGCCCATCTTGCATCTAAACTCAAAGATGCTTTTGAGATGGCAAGCCAAAACTTCGACAACATCTTCAAGACCTTAAAACCTGACCTGCTTATATATGACGTTAATCAGCCATGGGCTGCAGCCATAGCTTCCTCTCACAATGTCCCGGCTGTTCAGTTTCTTACTAGTGGAGCAGCGACAGCTTCTTTTTCCCTTCACATGCTAAAGATGGGTGACGAAAAATTCCCATTCCCGGAAATTCATATTCGTGGATATGAAAGCCTCATGACTCGGGGTGCGGTCTCCACTCCTGAGGATCTTTTTAAAGATAGGTATCGTTTTTTGGAAGCTCTTGAACGGTCATGTAACATCGTTCTGATTAAAACTGTTAGAGAACTTGAGGAAAAATATATTGATTATCTATCGGTTTTAGCTGAGAAGAAGCTTGTTCCGCTTGGTCCACTTGTTCAAGACCCTGTTAGTCAAGATGAGCATAAGGACATCATGCAATGGCTAGATAAAAAGAACAAATATTCAACAGTGTTTGTTTCTTTTGGCAGTGAGTATTTTCTGTCCAAGGAAGAGATGGAAGAGGTAGCTCATGGGCTAGAGATTAGCATGGTTAATTTCATATGGGTGGTGAGGTTTCCCAAAGGGGAGAAAATTAGGGTTGAAGATGCACTACCAGAAGGATTTTTTGAGAGGGTAGGAGAGAGAGGAAAGGTGGTGGAAGGATGGGCCCCACAGGCTAAAATCATTGGGCATCTGAGTACAGGTGGCTTTGTGAGCCATTGTGGGTGGAGTTCTATAATGGAAAGCATGAAGTTTGGTGTTCCAATTATAGCAATACCCATGCATATTGACCAGCCATTGAATGCTACAGTGTTGGAGGAGGTTGGTGTTGGTGTGGAGGTCGTGAGAGACAATAATGGAAAGCTCCAGAGAGAAGAGATTGCACATGTTATAAGAAAGGTAGTTGTGGAGGAAAACGGTGAGGGTGTGAGGAGGAAAGCAAGGGAAGTGAGTGAGACATTTAAAATGAAAGGAGAAGAAGAGATTGAAGTGGTGGTGGAGGAGCTGCTACAGCTTTGCAAGAAGAAGAATTAAGATTTCCATTGATATCCGGTTATAAATACTATTGAGTAATGCTATTTATCACTTTTTATTGTTTTGCGTCACCATCCTTATGTTTGAATATTTTCCTATATGATTTATCTAATTTTGACCCACTTCGGTATTGAAATTTATAATAGAGTCTGGAGCTTGCTCACTCAACACTTTAACTTTTCCTAGCATTGCAAACCTTGGTCTGAATTTGTCTCATAGGTTGCACATCCCCGGAAAGGGAAGTCTTTATCTACAGTCCGCCAAAAGCTATGTCTTTCGGCTGCTGTTTACTATCTATGGATGGAAAGAAACACCAGAATTTTTGCTAACAATGTAAAGGATCCAAACTCTCTATTTAAGTCATGCTCCAAACTGTAAATGATAGACTTGTGTCCCTGAAATTCAAAAGCTTTCAGCTGAATCTAGCTATTGCCGTTTCAACTCCCAAGCAACTGTCTTGTATAGCTCCCACGTTTCTTCATGCTCCTTGTATGGGAAACCCGTTTTTTGACAAATCTATAGTTACTTGCTCACACNCAAACTCTCTATTTAAGTCATGCTCCAAACTGTAAATGATAGACTTGTGTCCCTGAAATTCAAAAGCTTTCAGCTGAATCTAGCTATTGCCGTTTCAACTCCCAAGCAACTGTCTTGTATAGCTCCCACGTTTCCTCATGCTCCTTGTATGGGAAACCCGTTTTTTGACAAATCTATAGTTACTTGCTCACACCTACAGATTTGTGCTATGTTTTTTGTCTTCTTTCATATGTATTAACAGGGGGAAGCCCCTGCACTTTTGTACCTCTTTGATATGGTATCCACCTTTATTTTCCGGAAAAACTTATCCAACTACTGGAACGGCAAAGAGTTGTGGGGAGTTTTTTAATATTAAGTAAAATTTGGTTTAATTGAAGTACACAATAGGAAAAAAACACAAGACAATTGTCTTGTTATTAATGTTATTTTTTTTTGGTCGGCTGAAAGTGAGGTGTGATGTATGATTGANCCACCTTTATTTTCCGGAAAAACTTATCCAACTACTGGAACGGCAAAGAGTTGTGGGGATTTTTTTAATATTAAGTAAAATTTGGTTTAATTGAAGTACACAATAGGATAAAAACACAAGACAATTGTCTTGTTATTAATGTTATTTTTTTTTGGTCGGCTGAAAGTGAGGTGTCATGTATGATTAAAATGACTCTTATCCCAAAAGTCTTGGTATCTAGTAAAAAAATTCCAATGTAAAAAGTTAACTTTAGTATATTGTCGAAGTAAATACACTTTTTTTTCTCAAAAAATAAATTTTATTTATAACAATATTGTATCATATATCTCATAAATTGATCAGATATAAAAAAATATTTATAAGACAACTCAAAAGCAATAAAATAAAAATATTTCAATATTCATTAAAAAAAAAGTCTTATAAGTACATGATAGCCGAAGTTTTAAAAAATACAAAAAATTCAAAATAATCCTATTGAAAGTATCAATTTATGATTGAACAAAAAAAATCTCCCAGTGCACACAAAAAAATATTCTCTCCCATTGCACCATCCACCTTCAATCGATAACCTACAAAAATATGATTGTCCTTATTATGTTATCAATTTTAAAACGGATAATTAAATACATAAAATAATAAATTATATTCATTTTTTTATTTAACTTGTATATAAACTTACCTCTATATCATTGAGAACTAATCAACCATTTCTCCAATCCATCCTAAGTACAATAAAGTCTTGGTTCAATTTGACAAAAACAAAACTAATAATACTGAGAGCATCAAAGGCGCTTGAACACATCATATCATGATATTAGAAATTACTCGTGCCTGAAGGCACTACATAAAAAAATCGGCAATTAAAAAGCATACCAAATATTAGAGTATTAATGACATTGTGGAATTTACATTTCATTACATCAGCATCCACAATTTAGACATTCAACCAATTGTTAAACAACACTATTACTAACAACATATTACATGTAGTATACACATGAATCTTATATCAAAATAATTGGTGTAACAAACAAAACTTCATTAGCTGTTATGATACTTTTATTTTTTTTTAAATCTTGACAATGTTTTCTTCGAAAACATGATCCTTGAACAATATCAACATGTTCATACAATTTATATAATCAAACCTCCATTTAAACAACACCGCCTTGTATGAATAATCTCATCAAACATATTTAAAACCTATAGGTGGGGAGTTAAAAGAGGCTTACACACATGTTTATGTCAAGAATATTCAAAGGGGATGAATATGATAAGTGAATAGAATAAAAGGAAATTGAGCAACCTATTAACAAAGGAACCTACCAATTAGGCAAAGGGTAAGTTGAGTAAAATGCTCACACCAGCCATGTAAAAATCTTTTCTACAGTAAACAAGTAATGTGAGTATTTATAGCACACTGCCTGGACAAGTCAAGTTGCCCAAAAGGCTGCCCGCCATGACCCTCTTACATTCGCGCCAACTCACAACTACCTCGACCACGACGATACAAATGGCTGCTAACCGCGATTCACATGTCTTAACATTAACTATGCAGGTGTGATGTTTTCCTAAACACAACCTGGACACAGCCCCGAAGAGGAGTGCAATAGCCGAGGTGAAAGCGGGCTGCTAAGGTATGTTATATGCAATAAGAAATGGGACATTACAGACAACTATTTATGAGCAAAAACATGAGATATTTAAAAGGATAACATAAGGCGGGATGAATCCGTATCTACCTGTTCAATTTTTTCCAAGACCAAGCAATATATGTTAAAGGTATATTTACTTCAATTTTAAATTAAACTTAATTTAGACAATCTCATATTTAGCAAAATAACAATAGAATAAGAATTAGATGCTTAATCAAAAGGCATAGAATTGTACGAATATATAAACAGTCACGGGGTTATACTCGTTCCGCACAATTTTCTTATACTTGCAATTAGTAGAACACATAAGGTGTTCAATGATATGAAAATCAACATACCTCATCACTGTTGACATTAACTTATGCTTCAATGTATGTAAATCCTTATACCTGCAGAGCATTTGCTATAAGTTTAGTATGGTGCTTACATCTCAATGATTCCTTATTACTGATTCAAAAAAAGGAAAAAAAAAAAAGGGGGGGGAGTCATGAAATAAGGGATTAAACAGTAATAGTGTTGTGAGCATTTTTCATCCCCGTCATGTAATAGGAAGTTATCCAGAATAAAAAAGACAAAAAAAACAAAAAATCTTATAGAAAAGAACAGGAATGCTGATGATTATGCAACAAAATGTGAAACAGGTTGTAAGAGGTTATGAAAATTTTAATGAAAAATGTGATCAATAAATTAAGCATATAAAATTAATGTCCAAATTGGTCCAACAAAAGCATCATCCATTTATTTTCAAAATAGAATGTGGACAGTGAAATAATCCCACAACCTAGTTTCCCCACTATTGTCAAACCTGTGTTTTTGTACGTGCATACAACAGAGTTTACCCTCATTTTTTCTATATTTGGCATATGGCATATCAAGGTAAGATTAAACTTCGACATAAAAACTAATATTTGCACATGTGAACTAATTTGGAGGTCTATTGCTCCAGCTTCCACCAGAAGACAATATAGGCTAGTGGCAGTTAGCCAGAATTCGAATGAGTCTGGGTTTGAGCTACCCAGTTATGGGTTGCATCACCTTGGAGTTCATAAAATATTAAGACAAACACGGGGGNCCTCTATATCATTGAGAACTAATCAACCATTTCTCCAATCCATCCTAAGTACAATAAAGTCTTGGTTCAATTTGACAAAAACAAAACTAATAATACTGAGAGCATCAAAGGCGCTTGAACACATCATATCATGATATTAGAAATTACTCGTGCCTGAAGGCACTACATAAAAAAATCGGCAATTAAAAAGCATACCAAATATTAGAGTATTAATGACATTGTGGAATTTACATTTCATTACATCAGCATCCACAATTTAAACATTCAACCAATTGTTAAACAACACTATTACTAACAACATATTACATGTAGTATACACATGAATCTTATATCAAAATAATTGGTGTAACAAACAAAACTTCATTAGCTGTTATGATACTTTTATTTTTTTTTAAATCTTGACAATGTTTTCTTCGAAAACATGATCCTTGAACAATATCAACATGTTCATACAATTTATATAATCAAACCTCCATTTAAACAACACCGCCTTGTATGAATAATCACATCAAACATATTTAAAACCTATAGGTGGGGAGTTAAAAGAGGCTTACACACATGTTTNAACATGATCCTTGAACAATATCAACATGTTCATACAATTTATATAATCAAACCTCCATTTAAACAACACCGCCTTGTATGAATAATCTCATCAAACATATTTAAAACCTATAGGTGGGGAGTTAAAAGAGGCTTACACACATGTTTATGTCAAGAATATTCAAAGGGGATGAATATGATAAGTGAATAGAATAAAAGGAAATTGAGCAACCTATTAACAAAGGAACCTACCAATTAGGCAAAGGGTAAGTTGAGTAAAATGCTCACACCAGCCATGTAAAAATCTTTTCTACAGTAAACAAGTAATGTGAGTATTTATAGCACACTGCCTGGACAAGTCAAGTTGCCCAAAAGGCTGCCCGCCATGACCCTCTTACATTCGTGCCAACTCACAACTACCTCGACCACNATACACCCCCCTCACCAAGATAGCTTGTTCATGAGGTAAAAAGAAGCCATTGGACAAACTCTGAAGCACTGCATATCACTCCTAATTGCTTAGTTGTTCTGTGTAGAAATTTTCAAAGGCAAGTTGTTGATGCTAAGATTAGTAAATTTTTAATATGAAATTCTTAATCAAGTAGCAATGGCAAGTACCAATCAAGAAATATGTCACTTAAAAAAGATAACCATAAAATATCATTAACAATTTATCTAAAACTTTGTAACACTTTCAACACCAACGATTTATCTTACATGTAAGTCATAACCAATGCATCCTCCTTCAATTATCGCCAACTCAAGCAGCACAATGAATTATTTTACAAAATGGCCAATAAGAAAAAAGTAATTGGTATGGACATTTCCACAAACAGTTGGAAGCAAATTTAATTAACAATATTTTTAGAGTGTAATATTTCACTCCGGAAACAAATAGAACACATCCCTG